CTTGTATATAATTTATATAAATGAAAAGAGAAATATTACTGACTGTTATTTTGTTTTGCTCCGGGGTGGCTGTTTTCGGCTTGTTTTCACTTTTTTATCGGCCGCTCCAGCGCAACGCACTCCGTCCACGGCACACCGCCCAACCGCCACGCACCAACCACCGTGCACACGTGATCGCGTGGTGGGTCGAGGGACGAGCGACTCGCTCGCGCTTGCTGTCTCACGATCACCCACACCCCTTCTGGTCTCTTCCATGGCCACGGTTTTGTATTTTAATTCAGGGCCACTTTCGGCCTCCATTTCAGTCACCCCACTCACCCTGCTCACCCTGCTCACCCGCTAATCCATCATGGCTCGATATAATGAGGGTCAACCGCCCCCAATGCCCTCGAGGCATCCCTCCTTCATTTCATCCCCTTCATCGCCGTCTCTACAGTGAGAGTATATATCCACCTGCACACCAATCAAGCCTATTCTTCTACACAGCAAAATGCGTCTGCTAGTCTCTACTCCTCACTCCTGCCCTCATCTCTGCTTCCTCCCTCTCTCACCGTTTTCTCGACCGTCCTCGGTTCGGGCCTCCACAGCGCCGTGAACATGCCAAAGCGTCATCGAAGCCGGGTGACATCTAGCAGCGACAGCGACACAACTGACGAGTCGTCCCGCTTGGGCACGAACAACGAGTCCGATTGAGGATATGAGATGGAGCTGACTGAGCCTGATTCCGATGCGCCTCGTGACAAACGCAAGGGCAAACGCAAGCATCGACAGCTATGCTATAAGCCCAACATAGTAGTCCCCAAGAAGGACGCAGCTGCCGCTGCTACCGACGACTTGGATGATGATACGGACCCTGAGGATGATACAGATGATGAGATATTGTCAGGGGACGAGGAGGATGACTACTCCCCTGACGGCAGGGCCCTCATCGTTTGTATGGAAGATCACTGGCAGCGGTTGGCTCCCCCTCCCTCTGCCTCCTGTTCCCCGATCTAAGACTGACAGAGAAACCATCTCCAGATACTGCAGGAAGAAAGAGGCGGAGCCATATGTGGACCCCAAGTGGTGGGATCCAGTCAACACTGTCCGCGCTGCAGAGTGACGCGATCTGTACCAGTTCTTCAACTGGTGCTTCGGACTGAAGTTGGGGAAGGAAGGCCATTGACTGAAGGGGATGAACAAGTTGAGCTCCCTGAAGGGTGACTGGAAGAACTTCCTGCGCTACTACGAGGGTGCGACCGGCACCAAGATCGACGCATTGCTGATGCAGCTGACGCAGAAGGTAAGTCCTGCTCCCCATCAGGTGCTGATTGGCGAGGCTGATCGTCATGGAAGAGCCTTCGATGGCTGGCCAAGAAGCACAGACTGGACACGCAGGAGAAGGAGAAGACCCCGGTGTGTGTGGAGGACATGGCTTCGCTCCAGAAGACCATTCTGTGGACACAGGAGAAGAGATTCTGACTCAGGCTGCAGTGAATGCAGATCTGCCTCTACAACCTGCTGAGCCTCTTCACACTGAACTGGAAAAGCACCATCCTCACCCTGTGATATAAGGACCTGAGGGTGTCACTCCAGCGAGACCCTAGCAGCGGGCCCCACCTCCCGACAGTGGAATTCAGCTATGAGTTGACAAAGAAGCACCTCGGCCTAACACAGACATATGTACTCTCCACTATCATCACCAGATATGCACACTGAACTGACAGCTGGCCAGAAACACCTTCATCCTGCCTGAGATCATCTACAACCCATCTCTGATCCTCAGTCCCCATAACTTTCTATTTGGCATTCTGTTCTTCTTCGGTGCCTTCAAGGCCACCAATCTCATCTTGATGGGGAAGCTCAGGGGACTGAAAATCAAGGGCGGCTGACAACAGACACTGATTCCACTGAAGTCAGAGATGGCCAACCACTATGTCTTCTGCAAAGTGGAGAAGGTGGACAGCAAGGTCCGCATCTTCCCTGAAGAAAAGATGGACCCTTCATCCTCCATCCATACAATGGCCGAGATTGCCGGTTTTCTACACCCCTGGTTCAACCATCACTGCCGGTATGGCGGGGGTCTGATCCTCAACAAGAGTGGTAAGAAGACCCCCTCATCTCTTTCTGTCCATAGACTGCCTGCAAAGCAGAGGTGCTGACACGGAACCATGCAGGATTGGTCAGCAATGCCGAGCAGAATCTAGTCCTGAAGCATGCTAGCATCTGCATGTTTCTGGAACACTATATTCCACGCACGGTGGGCATCAATATGCAGGCACTGATCAGCAGTCTGGACCTCAACTCTCCTCTGATACAAGCGATCACACGGATCGGCCGCTGGCTGGACAAATGGTGTCCACAGCATCTGACAGATGCGCAGAAGGCGACTGTGGAGTGGGATTCAAAGCTGCAGGAAGCCATCTGAAAGAGAGATCGGGCCAAACAATGTGCCGTGCAGACCAGCAGCCTCAAGGCAATCGAGAAGTTTGAGAGGTGAAAGGCTGATGTCAAGAAAACAGGGACCTGTCTTCTCTACAAGTACTGGAAACAGGTCCGGAAGGAGTTCGACGATGAGCAGGCTGTGATCAACATTGAACAGCAGCTCTCCAGCGAGGCGTTGGATGAGGAGGCAATGGAGACACTGCAGGAGGAACAGATCCTCCCAGCACTGATCTATCTTCTCTCAAAGCTCCTGACATGGCTGACATCCAGATCGGTGGAAGAGGAGTTGCAGTGATGGGATGCCAGTGTTGATGCTGTTCAGATGTACTGTGGTGTCCCTGAGGGCGGGCCGCACCGGGGAAGGAGACCAAAACCCCCCCCCCCAAATTAAAAGAGT